TGGGGGGAGGTGGGCAGTGGGGAGGGAAAAGGGGGACACCTGCAATAATGTCAACATTAAAGATGTTTAATAAAAATACAATAAAATAAAAATGTAGTAATGCTAGGGATTAGAGTTTTCTAACCTTCTCTGTCATATACTGACTTGACTTTTCAGCTTTACATACATAAATAAGGAGCATGAAAGTGGTCACAGGTCCACACAGGGAATCTACTTGGCTGAAATAGTGGACTTTGCCTGCCCGTTCCCCTTCCAAGGTCAGAGGAGCTGCTGAAGCGCTGAGTGGCTCAGTGATCACAAACAAGCTGTGAGAGCAGCTCCCACCCAAAGCTGTGGGGGGCTGTGGCAGCAGGAGGCCGTGGAAATCAATACTGAGCAGATAACTCAGGGTCAAGAACCTAGAGCAATGTGTCCACAGGAGTTAACATGACAAGCAGGGCCTGAGGTTGGCACTGGGAACAGAGAGGGGGACGCGGGTTACCTGAAGGCCAGGAAGAATAAACGAAGGGGCAGTAGGGCAAAATTCGTGAGCAGTTAGCGTCCGAACAAAAGACTGTGATAATTCATAGGACTTAGGATAAAAAACCACTCCTCCTCAACCGGCCAGTGTGCGCCGTGGTTGAGTATTACGTTAGAAATGTTGGCCAGGGCAATGAACAAAATAAAACAATCAGAAATATGAGAACTGGAAAGAAAAAGGTAAACGTTCCCTAACGTACATTACACGATTAACATCTAGAAAGTCCAAACAAACAACTGGAGAAATACAACGGAACAAGAGCATTCCCTACCTCATCCCTCTTCTGCTCCTACCGATTTACGTGTGTTTTCTTGTACTTCCAGTCACTCAAGTTCAAAACCAACAGTATGGAGATTACCAGGGGGGAGGCAGAAAAGGGGAAGGGGGGATAAATGGTGATGGAAGGAGACTTGACTTGGGCTGGTGAACACACAGTACAATATACAGATGATGCGTTATAGAACTGTACACCTGAAACATGTAATTTTATTAACCAGTGTCACCCCAATAAATTCATTAAAAAGTAAAACAAACAAACAAAAAACTTGGGAGGATGCCTATCGTATTGTGGAAAAAGCAGGATACAAAACTGTATAATTTCAAGTATGTTAAAAATATATGTGGTGGAGTAAAAAGAGACTTCTCACCCTGCCCTCCCCACCACCCCACACCCATACCTATTTCCCTCCCAAGTGATTAAAGCAATATGTTTTTTGGTCAAGTTAAAAAAAAAATCATGGTGTCATAACAGCATTGATTTTATCTGTACTTTCACAATCTGCTTCCCTCCATATTTTGCAGACCCCACCCTTATATAAGCAGACTCTGAATCATACAGATTTTGACTCTCAGATGTTCTGTTAAGTCTCCCTTTTTCACTTCCTCTCTAAATATGTCATAAACGGCTGCCGGTTTAATATGCAATTTCCTGTGGCCTTGCGTTCCTACAGCAGGCCCCTGCTTTGCCTTTCCAGACCATTTCTGACCAGTCCTTTATACAGACATTGCTTAGCTGGACCAGACTTCTGGGTGCCTACCTCTTGGACGCCCCAGCACTGTACCTTTGGGGATGCTCCTCCTGGACATCAACATCTGTAGGAGCGAGCGCCCTTCCCTTTAACTCACCCCGAGAATACCTAACCCCTGATCTTCAGGCACCCCTTCGTCTCCCATGGCCACAGATACAAATTCCCCTCCTTTCAAGTCCACAGCACTCTAACTCCCTGGGTCTTTACGTTTCATGTTTCTGACTCGTGTCTTCATCTTGTGGACTCTACCAGGCCCTAAGCGTCATGAGGGTAGAAAGTGACTCCTAGGCATCTCCCCGTCACTGGCAGCACGGGCGGCCTGTCACCAACAGTTGCTGTACTGAATGGACTATGGCTGCCCGGAAGGCACGAATGTAGGTTTCAATGCAACTAAGGGTCTCCGCACTTCCCGCACCTGGGCCGCGGTCCACCTGGCAGGGCCGCTCCCCGAGGGCGCTTCCCGCACCTGGGCTGCGGTCCACCTGGCAGGGCCGCTCCCCGAGGGCGCCTCCCGCACCTGGGCCGCGGTCCACCTGGCAGGGCCGCTCCCCGAGGGCGCTTCCCGCACCTGGGCTGCGGTCCACCTGGCAGGGCCGCTCCCCGAGGGCGCCTCCCGCACCTGGGCCGCGGTCCACCTGGCAGGGCCGCTCCCCGAGGGCGCTTCCCGCACCTGGGCTGCGGTCCACCTGGCAGGGCCGCTCCCCGAGGGCGCCTCCCGCACCTGGGCCGCGGTCCACCTGGCAGGGCCGCTCCCCGAGGGCGCTTCCCGCACCTGGGCCGCGGTCCACCTGGCAGGGCCGCTCCCCGAGGGCGCTTCCCGCACCTGGGCTGCGGTCCACCTGGCAGGGCCGCTCCCCGAGGGCGCCTCCCGCACCTGGGCCGCGGTCCACCTGGCAGGGCCGCTCCCCGAGGGCGCTTCCCGCACCTGGGCTGCGGTCCACCTGGCAGGGCCGCTCCCCGAGGGCGCCTCCCGCACCTGGGCCGCGGTCCACCTGGCAGGGCCGCTCCCCGAGGGCGCTTCCCGCACCTGGGCTGCGGTCCACCTGGCAGGGCCGCTCCCCGAGGGCGCCTCCCGCACCTGGGCCGCGGTCCACCTGGCAGGGCCGCTCCCCGAGGGCGCTTCCCGCACCTGGGCTGCGGTCCACCTGGCAGGGCCGCTCCCCGAGGGCGCCTCCCGCACCTGGGCCGCGGTCCACCTGGCAGGGCCGCTCCCCGAGGGCGCTTCCCGCACCTGGGCTGCGGTCCACCTGGCAGGGCCGCTCCCCGAGGGCGCCTCCCGCACCTGGGCCGCGGTCCACCTGGCAGGGCCGCTCCCCGAGGGCGCTTCCCGCACCTGGGCTGCGGTCCACCTGGCAGGGCCGCTCCCCGAGGGCGCCTCCCGCACCTGGGCCGCGGTCCACCTGGCAGGGCCGCTCCCCGAGGGCGCTTCCCGCACCTGGGCTGCGGTCCACCTGGCAGGGCCGCTCCCCGAGGGCGCCTCCCGCACCTGGGCCGCGGTCCACCTGGCAGGGCCGCTCCCCGAGGGCGCTTCCCGCACCTGGGCTGCGGTCCACCTGGCAGGGCCGCTCCCCGAGGGCGCCTCCCGCACCTGGGCCGCGGTCCACCTGGCAGGGCCGCTCCCCGAGGGCGCTTCCCGCACCTGGGCTGCGGTCCACCTGGCAGGGCCGCTCCCCGAGGGCGCCTCCCGCACCTGGGCCGCGGTCCACCTGGCAGGGCCGCTCCCCGAGGGCGCTTCCCGCACCTGGGCTGCGGTCCACCTGGCAGGGCCGCTCCCCGAGGGCGCCTCCCGCACCTGGGCCGCGGTCCACCTGGCAGGGCCGCTCCCCGAGGGCGCTTCCCGCACCTGGGCTGCGGTCCACCTGGCAGGGCCGCTCCCCGAGGGCGCCTCCCGCACCTGGGCCGCGGTCCACCTGGCAGGGCCGCTCCCCGAGGGCGCTTCCCGCACCTGGGCTGCGGTCCACCTGGCAGGGCCGCTCCCCGAGGGCGCCTCCCGCACCTGGGCCGCGGTCCACCTGGCAGGGCCGCTCCCCGAGGGCGCTTCCCGCACCTGGGCTGCGGTCCACCTGGCAGGGCCGCTCCCCGAGGGCGCCTCCCGCACCTGGGCCGCGGTCCACCTGGCAGGGCCGCTCCCCGAGGGCGCTTCCCGCACCTGGGCTGCGGTCCACCTGGCAGGGCCNGTCTGCGGGGCCCGCGCGCCCCTCACCGGCGCCTGTGCGTTTTTCTTGATGACTTTGGTCCCTGAGCACTTTTTCTTTGATAGGGAGAGTCTCTTTTTTCCTGGTTCTCCTGTCTGCCTGCCCTGTGCCATCTTCCAACAAGTTCTGTCTCCAGCCTTAGTTTCCGTATTTGTCAGAAGCTCCAACAAGCTGGTCGTCTAATAGCCACAGCACCCCCTCCCCCGAATATCTATCTATCTATCATCTATCTATCTATCTATCTATCTATCTATCTATCTATCTATCTATCTATCTATCTATCTATCTCTATCTATCTATCTATCTATCTATCTATCTATCTATCTATCTATCTATCTATCTATCTATCTATCATCTAGCTATCCATCATCTGTCATCTATCATCTATCTGTCATCCATCTATCATCTGTCTAACTACGGGGTGTGTGTGTATATATGTATATATTTATATTACTTTTTTTGCTAAGATGGTGTTTGTTAAATACTCTGTTTTAGGTTCAAAAATCAGACCCTGGTGGAAATGAGCTCTGCCCCTGCCAACTTGGGGGGCTTTGAAGAGCCTGGTGCAGAGTAAACACCAAACAGCTGTTAGCTTTAGTTCATTTTAAGCCAGTTTCTTGCTCTTCTGGGCCTTAGTTTCCTTCTGTCCCAAACGGAAGTGCTGCCCAACGCGTGGGCTTTGAGATACTTGTGCAAATGGGCAGCGGACAGGACAGGGACACACGCGGGAAGCACTCAGTGAGGAGCAGCTGGCGCTGTCTTGTTTTCCCTCCACCCTTAGGCCTGGGTTCCTTTCTCCCGCCCATTCTACCAAATCCCTTGGCATCAGGTCCGGACACTTCTTTGCGCAGTTTTTGTCTCCCCCTGGGTTTTGTTAGGGATTCTTTGGAAGTGCATGAAAAGAGGTGAATACCAACTTTTATGTTGAATTAGAAAGTGTATCCTGATTTCACACCTACAGGTTTGTCGGATTTCGCCGTTTCTGTGGAATTGCTGTTTCCCTTGTGTGTACAGCTGTATCCTGTGTGTACAGCTGTATCCTGTCCTTCGCTTCACCTAAGGAGGGATGTGGGTTTTGTGTGCCGATGTGTTTGAAGCATGGTAACATTTTTTCTTTACTTCTAGAAAAAATGTAGAGGACTTCACTGGACCTAGAGAAAGAAGTGATCTGGGATTCATCAACTTTGATATAACAGCGGATATCCTTTGAGAAACTATTTCATTGCTTTTTCTGTAGTTTTATAACAATATACATGTTACCATCTAGTGATTTGGGGGACATTGTGACTGTCAACCAAAACTTGGAAATTTCTAGGCCTGTGTATGTTTTCAGCAGTAAAATAGTGTTAATACCGCCTCATTCACACCTGGAGAAAACTTATGTGTAGATTCAGGAGTTACTGTGTGGTGGTGCTCTAAGTTCTTCACAGAAACATGAAAGCTTCTAGAGTGTGAACCTGTATTTCAGAAAGAGAGTCAGATCATTTGGATTAAAGAGGGAACACTGTGACCAGGGCTCTTCCTACCTAGATGAATATTTCTTGTATGACCCCAAAGCATGTCTTCGTATTTTATGGTAGAAACATATGTTTAAAAAGTGAATTACATCTCTTATGGTTTGGAAAGGTCCTTATCAAAATGAATATTGGTAAGCCATATTAGCATTTTGCCATTATAGTTTTTTGGTAAGTATTTTCATAACAAGAGCCAGAAATCACAACAGTTAAAAAAAGTTACTTTAAAACAGGGAAGATTTAAACATTTATCCTGAGTTTCCATCTTTTGACAGCTCTTATCATTGTGGCCGGTTTAGTCTTCTTTTTGGGTCTTAGATGGATGTTGGCAGTGTTCTCTGCCACTTCTAGCTTGATCTTGCTGCCTTTTTAAAACCCCAGAATTAAAGGTGGTTGTGGAGATTGAACTGTCTGAACTTGTATTAAGCAACAGTCTGAATAGTTGAAGCAGTGTCCAGAAGCAACACATACAGTTTATTACACTTGATTTAACTACTTGAGCCTAGTTGACATTTGTATATCATTACATTTAAGTTGTGATGCTTGGTTATACTTTAGAACTTGAGTGGAGTCCTATGTGCCTGAAATACGAAATCTTCTTATCTTTCATATATTTTTATTGAATTAGTGGCTCAGTACTAGGCGCCTCTCCTTTTTCTCTATTTTAGTGTTAGTATTGCTGTGAGTACTTAAGAATGAGATGTGTTTAAAGTCTGCTGCATTATGATTTATATATTCCTTAATTTGTTTACATCTAGAGAATATATTTGATTGGAATGTTAAGCAGTTGTTTCTTTATTTATCAGCAGAATATTCAACAAAAAATAATGTAAGTATACAGGGTTCCGGAAACCACAAATATTTGTATATTTCTCAATGTAAATTGAAAAGGGAAAGAAGTTGAACTTTACTCACACTCTGTATGGACTGACAATAATAGTCAGGGGCTGGCTACATGCTTCCTAAAGCATGCTCGTACTCTGGAGGTAGAGGAGCTGTGTCGGGCTGGAGGTTGGCCAGGCTGTCTGTCCATATTCATTCCCCACTCAGCAGGGTTTTGTGGTATATACCCAACTAAGTGGGTTCTGTTATATAGTTTTAAATAAACTAATCCTCACAAGGTGGAAAAACAGCTGAAAACGGTCCCTGCAAAGGTATTGCAGGTTGGAGATAATGCTAATGGTCCAGGCAAATATAAGCAACAGGAGTGGCACAGCGGACAGGTCCAGTCCTGCACTGCTCAGCCGCATTCAAGGATGAGAAACAGAAAGAACCTAGGTGCGTCTGACCAAAAGTTGATGGGAAAAATAGGCTCTGGTCCAGAACACTGAAGTGCACGTGCACAGTCACCACCGAGGATGGTGTGGGGGTAACAGCTGCATTAGGTACATAATTTGCAAAGAAAGGTGCATATTTAGGTGATGGTGTTCAGAGTAATTTGAGATTACAAACCTTTGGAGACCACTTCAGTGATAAAATCAGGAAGGATGCTGCTGACGTTGAGGGTACCAAGTAATGGGAGGCGGCATTGCCACCCAGCTGTAGGATGCTTTGAGCTAAAATATCCTGTCTTTGCCGCTGTAATTAGAAAGATAGACATTTGAGTCAATGAAGTTTATGATCTGTGCTTGTAACTCTTGTTACCCAGACATATAATCAAAACCTTTGTGAAGGAAACTAATTTTTTAATCTCTGATGTCATTTTAAAATCCTTATATATACACACACACACACATTTCTTTTCCAGTACATGGTTTGAGCTGTGCTGACACTCTGACGAAGCCGTGCCTGTACAATTAGTAAATGCCTGTCTTGAGAGTTTTTCTTTTTGTGTGACCTTCCAATTTGAGCACTTAAGGTTATCTTTTTAATCTTTTTAACTAGAGTTTATCAGAAGTTTTATAGTTAGAAGCTATTAAACTATTAGATTAAAATGTGTTAAGACTATTGGTTTTGATAGAAATTGGTTAGGCCAGTCTGATTGGGAGCTTTTGTTGCAGCTTGAGTAAGGGGTGAGATGTTTATACAGAATGTTGCTGAAACAAAAATTCTTAGGTCCTAAAGTATAAAGTGAATGAGTCTGACCTGATGAGTGAATTAAAATACAAAGGTGAAATCTCTGGAGCTTCTGTGGTGTTTTGACCCAAGTACCCTTATGTTCACTGTCAGCATAGACTGGAAGCAGTTTGTAGTTAGAAATGTGTCTACTTCTATATTTCATTTTCAAGGGATGACAAATTAACCAGCTTGATCTGTTGGTTTTTTATTTCAGTGTAATTTTTAGCACTTCAGTCAATTCATTGTATATCACATTTCTTTGGAGCATATTTTTTTATGCCAGGTATTTTGTTAGGCCCTGGGAGTATTGGGTTGATTAAGCTGCTCCCTGCCCTTGAGAATCAACAAAGTGTTAAAACAGGAAAAGCTGTTCTGGAGAGAAGAGTAGCTACTGGAAACACACATATTCTTCTTTAAGTCTCAGCAAATCATCTAAATAGGTCATTTTCTTGGTGATGATGTACCTAAATTATATTCATAATTCTGGTTTATCCAGCATGACTAGTAAGTTAATACAGTTTGGGATTTGACAGATTATTGCTTTGGTGAAGGAATGAGCACATAGAAAGTCATCTCACTTGGGCATGTCCTTGACTGTGTTCCCCTCCCTGTGATGTTTGTTTAGTGTTAGAGAGAGACTTTAGGGTGACGATTTAAAACCTCTTGTAGAGATAACTGTGCCACATTTCTTAGTCATCGCAGGCTCCACAGTTGGCCTCACCAGCTTATGGATGGTAGTTCAGTGAGAACACAGTTCTCGGGATTTAGTAGTGGTCACAAAAGTGTTTTTTCTCCATTTCACGCCCCCAATTTTCCAATCATTTGGTTTATGATTTGTCAAAACAGTGACTTGAAAGGCCATCTGACTTTAGAATTTTGCCATAATAAAGCAATGTGCCTATTTTACTTAAATGTAAAGAAACATTATTTAAAAAGCCCCTTCTTGTATCTGCCCACTTATAATTTTATAGGCTTGAAGATGTTAGCAATCCCCTCAAAGTTGGGTTAATTGATTATAAGCTATTTGCTTACCAATACCTTTAATTTGTTAAGTGACAAAGGTGCTATTTCTGATGAGTTAATCTGATTATTTTTACTTTAATGTAGGCTCTGAACCAGGTTGTCCTTTGGGACAAGATTGTTCTGAGAGGAGATAATCCGAAGCTGCTGTTGAAAGACATGAAAACAAAATACTTTTTCTTTGACGATGGAAATGGTCTCAAGTGAGCAATTCTTTGTAATATTTTTTTTT